GAATACGAGCTCTGACCAATTTGATGTTACTGTGGAGAGAAGCACTGAGGATAGCAGTGACAGCAGTGAAAGGATTTACAATTTACTATTTTTACCGAAAAAGACAATATAGCCAATGCAACGGCGTTCTTCCTTGTTGGTCCGAACACAATTCCTAGTTTATGAAACTGTTCACTGACAATGGTATAAAATCAATTCTGATTGTATATGTATCTAGCTTACGCTAAAGCATTACACATTTTACGCATCGTCATTTGTTGTCATACATAGATTGGCCGTATCAAACATTAGAGACTGGGCCATATCTTACCGTTTTATCAAGAAAAAAGCCAATTGAGGATCCCGTTTGAGACCAAGAGCAGACCGGAGATCTCTCCATTTCCCGAGGTTGACTCTCGTCTTACTCCGACGCCTCTCTGACTCCAATTTGGCCCTTTTGGTGGCACTACACAAAATTTTTCTTTTTTTTACTTTACGTGGAGCTTGCGTTGGGGTTTGGAATGGACTACAAGCCGGTCTCTTTGAATCCATCTTCTAATTTTGACGCACGAGTTGTCCGCTGATGCGGAGAATGGCGGCGCCGGCGAATACACAAACTTGCGAGACAGCCTGGTGAGCGTGACGTCACGCCCAGTCTCAAATTCGAGCCCGAATCCCTCTTATATATTTTACTGTACAGGATTATAGAGGCAATCTCAGTAAGCAGAGAAGGGCTCATTCAGCCCATCAGGCAGTTCTTTAAGCATGTATAGGAAGAAAAACAGGTATTTTTAACATGAAAAGTTGCGCAATGCACCTTTAAATTTAACTTTACAATTAGGTCTCATTTGTTAACATAGTTAATCCATTAACTAACAATAAGACATTTTTTAACCTTTGTTAATGTTATGTTAATAAAAATGTTCACGGCCATGTTAGTTCACAGTGCATTAACTGCATATATTCTTAATCAAAAGCTAAAATAAATGTTTACTTTATTTTAGATAGTTTGGTAGTCATTAAATGTATTTTAGTTTGTTTAAATATTTACAAATGAATTAGTTTTTTTTATTTCAGATAACAAACATGTTTTTATTTAGGTTTCATTTTATGTTTTGATAACCATAATTACACTGTTTCTAGCTTATATAGACTCGATATATACAACAGAGAAGATTAATAGAAAAACGAATTTACAATTTTCCTCTCCATTATGTTGGATATAGTGCAGCTTTGTTGATTAGATTTAATTATGATGTAAGTCTCTCCATGGTCCAGAGCCACTGGCCAACTGTTTCTTAGTATTTTGACATAACAGTTATATTTTGTGCTGACGCCATATGTTGTCTTCTGCAGAAAGGTCAGCGGCGGTGAGAATGAGTGGTATGCAGAGGTCTTTTACACTCCTCTGGTCCGCAGCTGTGCTCCTCACACACCCCATGAGCTGCAGAGGTGATTCACAGGTCACACTTTAGCTGAGCCAAAATCTCACTGAGAGCAAGGGGGAACAAAAATTTGTTTGCGATCAAACAAAAATCCACAGACCCCGTGCAGCTCATGCCAGACCCCCTGTTGAGCATTTAATATGTTACTTGTTATTTTCCATGAAACGTAATGATATAACATAATTAGTTGTTTTTTAAATAGGACAACACAATAATGTAGTATTTTTCTAGAGATTTGGTGTGCTCTTTGAATTACAAAGATTTGAATTCTGCCCTGGCTACTTTTCCGCTGATGTTTGAGCTTCTCGTCCTCCTTGTGCAGCTCCAAGTCAGTGATATTTTACCTTAAAGCAGCAGAAACTAAAATAGAAACTGGTTCAGGCAGAATGTACAATGTTAACACTAACTCCCAGGGTGTACAGTGGTCACACTGGAATCAAATCCTTTGTCATTCTTGCTGAGAGAGTTGTTCCCTTTTGCACAGATCGGTGCTGAATAACAACAGCGGCTCGGCTGCATAGTAGCTGCCACTTCACTCCTGCCTCACACTGTACAATAGTGAAGGCAAGCTTCAAGTGAATTGTGCTTGGCAGAACTTGAAATGCATGTTTCAGACCATCTGGACAGGTGATGAAATGTGTGGTTCTGTTCATGAGCAGTGGAACATGCTAGTCTTCTGATCATGATTTTTAGCAGTTTTTCATACAAGGCTTGACAGAGTGATTTTATATTCATTCGCATCTTACTCTCAAACTGTGTACTTTCTTTCTTTCTTTCTTTCTTTCTTTCTTTCTTTCTTTCTTTCTTTCTTTCTTTCTTTTTATTTCGAACAATAAAAAAGATACAAATAAAATAAAACATTAAAATTCCTGAAAAGTATGTTGCAACATACCGAAAGAAAAAAACATTTTCTATGAAGTATTATAACAATAATTACAATATGTTCGAAAAGGAGCGGGATGAAGCAGAAGCTTATTAGGAGTACAATAGTGTTAAAGTATAAAAATAATTTTTTTGAACAGTAATACGTTAAAGTTGGCATGAAACAAGTTGTGACAAGGTTCTTCCCTATTGTG